TTTTGCCTGGCAGAAAAATCCTGTGAGGAAAAAAAAACTACATATGAGATAATTCCTGCCACAACTAAATTCAAGACCTGAAATTATGACAACTTACTTAATTTTTTTCAATGAATACGAGAACATTTTAAGGCCTTGAATTTAAAACATGAATGTGAGACTTTTTAAGACTTTTTTGTGGATGTGCGGATAGAGCAGTGTGGTTCCAGTCCATCCTTGCATAAATAAGTCCTCACACCCCTTCTATAGGAGGTTCACCTTCCATAGGAACAGCAACCATAGATATAAATTGCAGCGCATGTTGGAACGATACAGTTCTGGCATTCATTCAAATTGAAAGCCTGAAAATTGACATTATGTTGTCAATTTGACTGAGACTGAGCTGTTTGTTAATGTGCAAAAAATGTCAGTTTCCATATGAGCAATATACTATATACTAAAATACAGACACATGCTGCAAACACACGCTATACTTCTTATATTTTATCTAAAAAACTTATAGAACACTTTCATTTTTCTTTCTCTTCACAAGTATGCATTACTTTTATGTTGGTAGTGAAATCTCAACAAAATACATGGAAGAATTTTTAAAAATTCAAGGTTTGTCCAGCTTGATGACTCATCTCAGAGTAACTTTTACTCACTCCTGTAAATGTGACAGATTCATATTGGCCACATGGTGTCACAAAGCCAAAAGGAGGCGTATGAGATGTCCCGTCAACTGTTGCTGCTTTAAAAGTTTGGGCTTTTGTTTCAAAGAAAACATGAATGTTTGATTAGGAAAGGCCAGAGACTACTTTGCCCAAAGTTACTAAAAATAAACACCTTCATCCTGAATAATGTAGACGGGTTTGAGTGGAGCAGTCAATAATTAAGTGGGTCCTTTGCTGTGGGAGGACGGTGCTCATTTATAGCGTAGAGGAGAACTGTGCCAAGTGAGCTTAGGTGTCACAGAATTAGAGCAACATCCGCTTATTAAGTCCTGCAGGACAAAAGCAGATCTGCAACAAGTCTTTTGACCTGGCAGTTCACTAAGGGAATGAGATTTTCAATTTTATCCAATGTTTTATGAAAGTTATCATTGGTTGGTGAGAAAGGCAACTTCCATAATTGGGGTGTGTTTTAAAAACTCAACTGTACTTACAGGGTGATAAAATCAGCGGCATGCAGCCCATAAAACAGCCTTTAGCAACAATAAATCCAATAAGTTTGTCTCATACAGATTTTCTTGAGTCTTTAGGATCATTGTTCTGTTGATGACCCAGTTTGAGTTTGGACAAAAAGTCAACAGTCAGACAGATTACCTTACATTTGATGGTAGAATACCTTACAGAGTTCGTAGCTGACACCATGGTGTCCATGTCTTGTGACTGCAGCATAGTGTGCTATGTCTGATAGGTTCTTTGGGTTTCTATCAGTGCTACTTTGCATCATGTGCTTTCCTCCGGCCTGTCCAAAGAACATTGTTGGAGGTTGCCAGTCCGTCAAAGGACAACGACAGAATCAGCCATGCACACACTCAGATCATTTAGAAAGAAAAGACCAGCTACTATGCATGTTTCTAGGACAGCGAAGGGAAGTCGAAGCACCAGGATACAGCCCACGCATGCATGGGGGGAACATCCAAACCGAGGACCTTGCTGCAGGGCAACAGTGTTGACATATAAATACAGGGTAAACCTGAACATTGTGACAAAAGCAAGCTTGCTTTCAGGTCCTCTAGAAAATGTACTGAACGATCCTCAGTGAGATCAGCAACAGGTTTTTACCAAGTTTCTCAAAAAGCTAGCCTCTTAATGTCTGTCTGCAGAACAGAGAAGATCTCTGGCACAGTAATGTCCAGACATTATGCTTCATGCTCCCTTAACACCAGCAAAAACCCATATGCTAAAAGTCATGAACGCGCATTGATCTGTTGAATGTTTGAGGCAGCAGTTTGATCAGCCCGCCTGCTGAGGGAACACCTGGAGGAGGTGTGATGTACAATCAGAGTGGACGTTCAAATATCTAGACAGATGCTTCTTACCTTGCTCCTGATCTGTCCAGAGGTGGACACTTTCCGGATCAGCTTCTGGGGGCCTTCCTGCTCTGCCTCGCTGTCGGAGGACTCGTCCGCAGCCCCGCTGCCGGCGACAGCGCCCACCACATGGGCATGCACCCCCGCCGCGGACGACACGGCCCCTTTCTCCGGCTCCTGTCGGGGAAAGGGGGAAAACCAGTCGGGGTTAGACTTCGGTCGGTCGGCGGCTCCCTTCCTCTCCTTAAGGCGGGAGGAAGCGTCTCTCCTCGCTGTCATCTCTCCACGTCTCTGAGGTAATGATGCTTTCTGGAGCCTGAGTGGGCTGGCGGACGCATAGGGGGACACGCTCGGGGGTGGAGAGACCACAATTTCCCCTCAACCCGAGTAGGCAGATGGCTGCTATGGCCAGCCAGTCCCCGCCGACTGAGGCTGGTGGAGACCGCCTCGTCCACTCCGTCAGCCGGCGGGCTGGTCTGTGGCAGGGCAGACCCTAGTGGCTGATTCACTCCAACACCCACAAAGCCAGCGCCACTAACGGGAGTCACACTACATTTATTTATCAATAACTCCAAAGAATGCTGCGAAACTCTTTGACTATGAAGCAACAAATAAAGACAACTAAACTGAAACAGACGTGAGTAAAAATAATTGTGGTGTTACTCGTAATGGAGCAGACAACGCACAATAGATTAAATTTGACATTTAGCCTTTGCTAGATGGTATTTCTTGAACAAGCAAAAGACCTCTGGCGATTAGATCCTATTTAGTCGTTAAGACACCCCCATAAAAATCTGAGCGACAGATACGCTCTGAACACGACAGCTCTCAGGCTGAAGTAACACTTCCACACTAAAACCTAACAGTTAAAGCTCAGTGTTCGTGAAAACAAGTCCAACTGTTCACTTTTCTTTGGAGAAACACCGAAGAAGAGCCACCGAAGTGAGGTGTGCGCGGGCTAAAAACAAGTCCCCCGGCCGGTGTTGGACTTTTTACTAACCAGTTCCTCCCAGACTGGGCTGCGGCTGTAGGGGTACACATCCTCCATAGTCCCAGGCTTCGTTCTGCGTCCGCTCCGGGGAAGAGAGAAGAAACAAAACAGGGGTAGAGGTGGAGGAATTCAGCAACCTGCTTCGCCGCTCTGGCTCTTCGCCACCCCCGTGTGCGCACCGAGGAGGAGAAGCAGGACGTGGAGCCCTGACCGTGTCCTCCCACCGCTCTCTTCTCTCTCTCCCTCCCTCTCAGCTAGGACCGCGGCCTCTCTTCTCCCCCTGCTGCTCGCTTTCCTTCCTTCTTCTCTTTTCTTCTTTTGATTCTTTCTTCCCTTTTCTTTCTTTCTCTCTTTTCTTCTTTCTTTCTTTCTTGCGCGCGTTTTTAGCGCTGCGCGTGACAAAAGTCAAACAGCATTAAAAGTGATGGAAATATTGGCTGAGACTATTAACAGATTAGATTGGCTTGGGGTCTTTTATGACCAGCATTGATGCTCAGCAGTGGCTGTGGATATTGTCAAAATCTTTCAGTTGAATTTTTTTTTTTTACCCTCATGAGCGTACTTCTGTCCAAAACTAGGTTGGAAGAAGGGTGTTTCATATCAATTAAAGATATAAAGATAAGATATAGATATACTCAATAAAAGCATTTTGTTTTCTAATGAATTTCCAAAACATTAAATGTCTCATTTATGCTGCAGGTTTTATTTGAATGTATTGACTTTGCGATACTGCATATTTTGGTACCGATCTGATGCCAAAATGATACATTTATAATCTAAATTTATCATCAAACTTCTGACCTTTAGGTATTTTGTGGTTTTTCTTTTGACTTGTTTTGCTAGAATCTGGGTCAGAATTGGAGAAAGTTGGCACATCAAAGCAAATTCTGTTTCAATTTAGAATTGTGAAACTACAATACAAAAAATAAAGTACAAATACGTAAACCAATATCATATTTGTAATGAAGAAACCCCAAGTTTAGAAAGCTAAAAACATAATAAAATCCTAAAATACACAAAAATGTAGTGTGAAACAAATAAACAGAGACTAAACATAAAATTGAATATCCTAAAATTAATTTAATTAATTAACTGCCTAATTAGTCAAATTATATTATCCTAGTTAACTTTACGATATTAGTAAAAACTAGATAAAAATCATGCAAAAGACATTAAAATTAAGTAAAAACAAATGAAACAGAACTCAAGATAAATTATTTAACATTTTAATAGTTTATAGATAGGTTAAAAAAATAGCTAATACAGTTAAAGTAAGAACATATGCTTTTTATTTTGCTTTAATAAAAAATGTAATTTAATTTAATAAAAAATTATCGCTTTCTATAGCAGAATAATAGACTATGGGCATTTGGATTTTATACTGGCTTTTGTGTAATAAAAATGTGCCACAGCCCCTTTTTCCAAGACGATTTCAGCTCGCGTTACATGGTAGTTACTCAATATTACTGTGTGCTTTGACTGTGTAATAACAGCTCAAAAGTCTCATCAAAAATGCGTTGTGAAAATGAAATTGTTGACCTTAACCAAGTTGGGGGCCCAGCGGAACTATTCTTTAGAGAGCTGGACGCAACGGAATTCTTTAAGCCTCGGACTCCTCTGTCCCTCAGTTATTTTCCTCCGGCTCCGGCACTATGAGCTGACAGATGTTATGAAATGGGAATAAGGCCGTTCCAGCCCAAGGAGTGACCCAAACTTGGGGCTTTTTATCCCGAAGGAACAACACAAGCAGCGGCAGAATGCATTACCAGCTGCTACGAGGCGGCACCACGGCGGCTGTGGCCGCTAGAAGGGTGCGGAATATTCTGGGTTCGGTCCTGGGTCGGGACGGCTGGATGTGGAGATTCCATGAGGTCAAACTTGTGAGCACAGCCTCAGGTAATCTTCAGGCTGGACTGCAGGGGTGACGCTTTCAGAATGCCCAGCAGGGGAAAAATCAGGGGTTCTGTTGGTGTTTATTCTAAATTCATGGACCATTGTTTGGGACAGCAACAGCTTGCTTCTCTGTTTTACTTCTACACAAGTAAAGACCTGATTGGAGTTTGTCTTCGTAGATTTCTGACCTCTGTGGTGATAAAAGCGAGAATAGCTTGAAGGAGAAAGTAGGGTCAGCACTTGAACTAGTTTCTAGGTGAAAGGTCATTGACTCTCTTCTGTTGTCAGTTCTTTCAGTTCCAGTAGAAAATAAATGCCAGGCTAGTACTTGTGTGAAATTACTGATTCATTTCGTACTTATGTCACGATATTACTTGTTCTGCAGTCTCGGTAAACATTTGGGATGATGGTTTGCTGTTTGTATGTATAAAACTACTGGTACTAGCGGCACACCAGTAAATCGGTCCGATTTAAATAATTCTGTGATTTCCGGTCAGCTGATACTTACATGAGAAATCGATCTTATCTACCGATCTATCTACCGCCACTAAGTTCTGAAAATCAGCCACTGTCCCATTTTGCTTTATAAGTCTGAATCAGCACATCAGGCATTTCAATTGGCCAGAAAAATGCCCGCTAGATTCCAGTTGAAAGTAAACATTTTATTACAATATGTTTTTAACTGCGAGAAAAATTAACATATTGACTCTCATATGCTGAGGTGTGAAATGTCTGTTCATGTTTTTTCAGGAAATCAGAAATGGAACAAACACTTTTCTACACCAATGTGTAGAATGTAGATTTTGTAAAATGTTTTAAAGATTAGGGTGATGGCATTGAGAGCCTCTATTTTCATATTTAGACTTAAATACATTTAAATAACTCATTACAATTCCAGTGGAAATAATAAAAAGCTGCTCAGCAATTATAAGAAGGGCTTGCTTGCTGCAGTGCCAATGGCTATTTTTTCCTTTTGAGTATTGAGAAGTGTAAAAATAATTTTCAATGCGACATAAAAAAAGAAGTGCTTTTCAGGAAGACTCCTCATCCTCTTCTCTTTGCAGGTGACACTGTGACGATCGGAGAGATCTCCTACAAACTCAAAACCCCTCAGAATCCAGAACTGGTTCCCCTCAAATACCGTATGTGACGTTCAGTGTTTGTCCAGCTGTTCACTGATACACAGGCGTTGTGTTGTTGTCTAGATTTTTTAGCTCTCTGGTCTCCATTCACCAGTTTCAGACTCTGTGCCCCAAACGGTGGCTCAACATCTCCGATGGATCATGCAGAAGGACCTTTTGGGTCAAGACGTGTTTCTCATCGGACCCCCAGGACCACTAAGACGATCCATAGCCATGCAGTACCTAGTGAGTAACTTAAAAACAAACATTTCTTTTTGCCTTTTATGCATACGAGATGCAGCGAATAATTAGTAGAAGTTGTATTTAAGAATTTATGATGGCTGAAAAAGAAAATAATCACAGTGTTCTGTGGCCTAGTCGAAGTCAAAACCCCAATCTGATTGAAATGCTGCAGTGGGAACTGAAGAGAGCTGTAGATGCTTCATAACGAGGGGTGTGCAATATGGTCTTAGAATTTTATCATGATATTTTATCGTGCTATTGTGATAGCGATGAAAATGATGATTAAAAAACAATTTATTACTTCTTTTTTAGGTACCTGCATGGTTCAGCATTCATACCACCACAAACATAAATGCTGCTTTTAAAAACCATTCCTGCTGGAAACTTCTTCAGGACACAGCATAAATAAATATGATTTATATCAATGATTTGCACATTACGGATATTTATTGATGCTCTCTTGGAAAAAAAAAAAACGAGAGAAAATAAAAATGTAACATTTTAGTCTGATTTTTTTATTTTACTTTTTTTACCATTAGCTGAAATTTATTGTGACAATGAGGAATCAAAATTCATGTCATGGCAAGAATTTTTTTCACGATAAATGCCCATAACTTTGGTCAACTGATTCGTCTATTATCCTTCTCAGACGACCTGAAAAATGTAACGATTTTTGTAGAGTTCTGACTGAGGGACGTTCCAAGAAAAACTATATTAATTGTTATTGGTGCCATTTTTGTTATTCAGATGTTCAATTTAATGAGTTCATGAGTGAATTTTTTTTCTTGTCATTGTGAACTAGGAGCTGACGAGGCGTGAAGTGGAGTATGTGGCGCTGTCCAGGGACACCACGGAAACGGACCTGAAGCAGAGGAGAGAGATCCGATCAGGAACAGCCTTCTACATCGACCAGGTTCTTCTGATTTCTGTTGGATTCGTAGATTTCAATCAAGTTTGATTTTCTTCTGGTATTTCATCACTTTCAACTGGTGTTAGTTTGATTTGAGTCAGAATGCTAGGATACAAAGGTAAACTACAACTGATGATCAAATCAACTCTGTATGCTGTTTGCTTGAACACTCAGTAGCTTTAGAATGCAGTAAAATGACTTTCACTAACGATACGAGTGTCATCTGCAAACGCAGTGAACATTAGTCCATCAGTGAAATTGATAAAGAAATGCCTTGATTTCCATATAACATGATGCAAAGCCATGGGCCTAAATCAACTACTTGGATAAAATCACGGGTCAGACTGGATGTTATTACAAAAGTGTCTGCAGTTGTGGAAGTTCCTCCTTACAGTGTAGTTTTTCATATAGAAACAAGTAACAAGTAATTTGACAATTGAAATCAATTGTCAAATTAAAGATGCAATAATTTAAAAAATCGTATTCAAACCTGTTTTTTTTCCCCTTTCTGAGTTAAATTTCAAAAGCTGCGTTTTCATTACAAATGTTCGCAGAACTCTGTCGATATTCCGCCAATGTTGAAAAAACACACTCCGGCAATTCCAGTTAAAAAGGAACGCATTTGAAATCACACATGAATAAGTTTGTTCACGCGATAAGTCGTTAAAAATTATGCCACACCGTCATTTTCCTACCACTTCCTGTCATCTTCTTTGTCTTTTTCTGCCAGTAGTAACATCCAGTTGTTGATCACATGAGCAGCGTGATGCAAAAAAAGTGTCTCCATTGCAGATTTTCGAAACTGTGATTCAGCCGAAAAACCACCTCATCCTTTTTCAACAACTTTTTATCAAAAAATGTGAGTCTTTTTTCTAAATTGGTGCCAGATGCAATTTATTTTCATAACTCCAATTTGCACAGTTTTATGCTCTATAGAAACACAGTCGGCGTTAAGCCTTTTGACTAAGTGCTAATGCCAACGACATGAAGCTTCCAGGACTATTGGAGAATTTAGAGATGACCAACAATGATTGCCTTGTAAACGACCAGTATGCATAAAATTATCACACTGCACACTTTTTTTTTTTTTTATATCAACTTACATATAAATATAC